GGGGGGGGGGGTACATTTTCATAACTTAATGTTTCATAATGTTCTTAGACTATATTTATGGTAGATGAGCTTCTTGAGGGGAGAATATAAGGGAAACATAAGAGGCCATTTCACAGTTTAAGGAGCCTCCAAAAAAATAGGACACAGTAAATAATCTATTATAGTATCATGAAATAACGATTTATATGTGGTCCTTGTAAGTTTGTCATAATACAAGGCTTTTTCTAAACAACAATTGATGGAGAAAGATGCTTTTTGGAACCAAATGTATATATTATTTATAGAAATGTAATGTTTTTATACAGGCTTATGTGGCAAGTAAAGAGAATGGGAGCACATGCACAAACACTATGATCTGTTCATGCGTTTCCATGTTCTGTAATGATGTCACAGAAAACAACACACACACACACACACACACAAGCAAGCAAACAAACAAGTAAATTGATTTTTTTTTATATTTAAGATGTTTGTTCACCTGTGCAAAAGACGTCCCTGTTGAAGCATAGGTGCTGGTTTGAGCTGGTCCTAGGCAACCAGCTCCTGCTCAGGACCAGCTTAGGACCAGCACATGACCAGCTTAAACCAGCTCAAACCAGCAGCCATGCTTCAAAACATGCTTAACCAGCATATGCTGGTTTTTTCAACAGTGATGTGAGAAGCTTGAGACAAATAACTATAGATGTGCCCTAAAAATGACCCAAAATCTAATTTGCGTGCAAAATCAAGAAACAAAGACTGGAAATTATAGACTTTAGTTAATCTTGCTAACAGCATTTAAACACATAAGGTAGCAACACTGGTCTGGCAGTTGTTTTGAAGAGCAGTTATTCTCTAGCTCCATCTGCTGACCAGCCCTGTCTCGTTAAGTATGTAGGCTACTGTATGTTATCAGTTTAGCACAGCGTCTGCCACATCGAAATGACCTCTATAATGGATTATTCTACATGTCTATGAAGTATTTTTCTATATCAGTTTCAACAGTTTTTTTGTGGTCTGGAATGAAGAGTTTTGTTGCACATTCAGGTCAGAGACTGTATGTGAAATGAAATTGGCTGTGTTCAAAACCCTCTTAGCTCTTATATATCATTCACTCTCTCTTGTTCCTTTTCTCTCTCCTTCTCTCCCTCCCTTCCTCCTGCGACCTCGATTCTGTCTCTTTTTTTGCTCTAGCCCTCCGGCTCTTGTTCCTCTGGAGAAGCTAGAGGGAAATCTAGGTTGTGATGTCTAAACAACAGAAACTTCTCTTAGGTTATTGTAGACAGTCACAGTTCATTTCTATTTGACTAATATTTATCTTTACAATACATACTGTATATTTAACAAGATGCCAAGATATAGGTAACAAGATATTCCATGATTGGTCACCCTGTTGAAAAAAACAGCATATGCTGGTTAGGTATGTTTTGAAGCTGGGATGCTGGTTTGAGCTGGTCCTTTGCTGGTTTAAGCTGGTCCTTTACTGGTTTATGCTGGTCATTTGCTGGTTTATGCTGGTCACGTGCTGGTTTATGCTGGTCATGTGCTGGTCTTACGCTGGTCGGACCAGTTTAGGACCAGCACATGACCAGCTAAGGACCAGCATAAACCAGCAAAGGACCAGCTTAAACCAGCAAAGGACCAGCTCAAACCAGCAAAGGACCAGCTCAAACCAGCATCCCAGCTTCAAAACATACCTAACCAGCATATGCTGTTTTTTCAACAGGGAAACTTCACCAGTAGAGGGCAGATGGTAACAGCGGTTTATTAGTAAGGTTAAATGACCAAAGATTACCAGGGTCACTGGTGTTGTTCATTTCCCCAACATATGTATTAATAAACGGTATAAACTATGCATAAACATGCACATAATAACGATGGAAATCATATTAATTAGGTTTTTAATCACAATTAAGTGAACATAGGTGAACTTTAAATAAGTGTACTTTTTAATATTGATTTGAGCAGAACCTTTTTTTTTGTTTTTTGTTATATCCCCAAAAGCTGCACTTCTAACATGAAAAGCTTGTAGTTTATTAAGAAATGTGCCAATATTTCCAGTAGAGGTTTCTTCATTTGTTTCTCTCTTTATAGTTCAAGGAAAACATTTTTTCAATGTGAATAATGTTTAAATTGATAATTAATGTATATATTTTTCCCTGTGTTCTCAACATGACTTTTGGTCATCATCCTGATGGTCCTTTGAAATATCCCTTTAAATAGCTAAAGCTATGCCTTAATGACATCGTCTTCCAGGAAGTGACATCATTTTGGAGGGAAATCAACTGTGCAAACATTAGTGAGTATTAGCAATTGGTTTGATGAGTTTTGTAATGTTTTATGGTGCTAGTTATTTAGTTTCACTATAATACAGCCCGTGCTGATTAAATTATAGAAATCAGGTTGATAATTTATGGGGTTTTTTTATTTTCTTGCTATTGTGTGTGTGTGTGTGTGAGT